TATACTTCCATAACCCATTTTGATCTTTAGACAGCCATCCTATCACCACCTCTGAATCCCCTTCAATTATGAGTTTCTTGATGTTCAACTCCTTAGCTTTTCGGACTCCTTCCATAACTGCAAGGATCTCAGCTCTAAGGGAGTCACCCACTCCAATTGGGATTTCTTTCATTCTTTAAACAAAAGAATACAAAATCAGAATTTGACCAAGGAATTACATCAATTACTTAAACAATGAAATACAAATGCAACAAACTTTGAAACCCCTCTCCTTCTACCTTTTTTTTCTTTCTCTCTTCCCATCAACAATCTAATCAAGTTGCCCATCACTTCCCAAGAAAAGAGGCAAAATATTTTAGAGATACACTGGGGCTGTGTTTCCTTGGAGTGTTTGGGAAGAAGAAAATCTAGGATTTAGAGATGAATCAGGTAGCAGATTTGTAACCCCAGATCCAGGATTCTGGGATTTGGAAACGAAAGCTGTCAGGTATCTTCTCTATCAGATCCTTCTACCAAGGACTAATTGGTTGAGACAGGGACCCTTTTCCTAGTAAGGCATTATGTGGGACTGTGTCACCTTCAAGGTCAAGTTTTTTGCTTGGGGGTGGTGGTGCTGAACAAACGCCTGATGAAGGAAAATTTGTTAAGAAGGGGCATTGAACTTGACAATACTCTATGCCCTCTATGTGAGCAGGATCCTGAGAATTCCAGCCATCTCTTTCTTCACTGCAAATTTTCAAGTAAAATCTGGCAGCATTTCCAGCAAGTATTACAGTTTCATTGGTGCCAGCCAGGTTCTGTTTCTTCCCTTTTTCTGGAATGGCATACCAAGTGCATGAACAAGAAAGGCAAACTACTACGGTCCACTGTTTCCTTGGCATTCTTTGGCAATTTGGATAGAAAGGACTTCTAGAGTGTTTGAGACGAAAAAAACCCTGTAGCGGCTGTGATCAAATTTTCTTTTGATTTATCTTAGGGGTTAGCTCTCCATTCATAGGTTGTTTTGCAGGGAGTTCAGCTACTCCAATCTATTTGACTTTTCTGATGCTAATTAGGCTGCCCTGTGTTCATAGTGTACAAAAACTCTTTGTAAAAAGGGCCTGTGTTCATTGCCACAAGAGTGTGGTTTATTGGGCTAAATCCATGTATGCTTTCTCTTCATTCTCTACTGGTGGCATCTTAAGAAACCGGGAAGTGGAGGTTAGCATCTAGGCAAGAAGCATTCCCAGGCCTTTATGGTCTCTTTTGGCTCTTTTTTTTTGATATGATATGGTAACTTTAATTGATGATATTAAATAAAGAGTAGAGTTATCACCACCCACAAGGTGGGTGGAAAAATCAGAACAAAAGCCTTACAAACAAGCCCAAAACAAAGCCTCCCTAATAATTCCTTGCTTAGCTAAAGTGTCAGCCATTCCATTTGCTGACCTTCTTACCCAATTAAATTGCACCCCAAGTTCCCTTGCTAAGCTAATAATTTCTCTTAGAGGCTGTCTAAATGACCATACTCCCAAGTTTCTAGATTGCATCCACCCTATTACCAGCTTGGAGTCTCCTTCCACTTCTAAGTGCTGCATTCCCCATTGTGTCGCCAATTTCAATCCTTGGAGGCCATGACTTCTGCCCTCAAAGAATCTCCCACCTCAATCAGGCCCGAGTAAAGGGCCAAAACTCTTCCTTCCTCATTTCTGAAGGCACCCCCAACTCCCGACGGGCCTAGATTACCTAAGGAGCTTCCATCAAAGTTTAATTTCACCTTGAACTGAGACTGTGGTGACCAAACCTCTTGAACTACAGGGCAATAGTGATGGTAATGACCTCAACAAATGCTTCCTTGGATTTTTCTTGCCCTTGGGGAAATCCTATTGTTTCTCTCTTCTCAAATCAACCAAAGGATAGCTACTCTTATTATTCTCCACATTACCCTGCCTCTTTTCTTTGGTTGCCGGAAGAAGCTAGAATGAAAAAGGTTTAACACACACGAAGGGGGATTCCACCTGCAACCAAAAAGAGAAGAGAACCAATCCCATAAATAAGAAGCAAAAGGACAAGAAACCAAAAGACGAGTTGCCATCTCACCATTTCTTAAGCAAAGGTAACAAATATGTGGGGAAAGGCATCAATCTGGCCTTTTTCTTTGAAGTACGTCCATAGTGTTGATCTTTTGGATATCCACTTCCCAACAAAAAGCCCTAGCCTTTGGTGGAACAGGAGAATAACACACTTCTTTAGTAGGAAAGGAGACAGGTACAATAGAAGGCTGAATTAGGGCATTGAAAAAAGAGCAAGAGAAGAGCCCTGAAGATGTCCAAATTCTATTGTCTGGGAAAGAATGATCTAGGAAAATTAAACTCAACACGGTGAACAGTTAATTTGCACAAGTCAATTCTGAATCCTTCAACCCTCTTCTCAAACCTAAGTTGCAGTTCCCCTCAAATACATGGATTGAGGAAATGGCTTTGGATTTATTTAGGGAAAGAGAATACATTACCGGGAATTTGTCCTTAAGGGGGGTGTTCCCAAACCAAAGATCCTTCCAAAAGAGAATTTTATTACTTGAACACAAATAAAGTCTGATGAAAGGCCGAAAGAAAGGCAAGGCTCAAGCAATGGCTTTCTAAGGGGAGAAATGAGTAGCCCTAGGGTCGACACCAGCATCCCATCCATTAGTTGCCATCCCATGAGTACTTTCCACCACCAAGTGCCACAAACTGTCCTGCTCTAGGGGAAACCTCCACAACCACTTTCCTAATAATGCTACATTTCTTAATCTAATATTGCCATTGCCTAGACCCCCGAAATCTTTTTTCCTAGAAACTACTTCTCACTTCATTAGATGGTCCTTTTTTGAGTCTCCTGGTTTCCACAGAAAATCTTTCATGAGCTTCTCAATCTTATTGGCAACTTTGACAGGTAACTTGAATGTAGACAAAAAATACACTAGAAGGTTGGTCAAAGTGGACTTGATTAAAGTGATTCTAACCCCTAATGAGATATAATTTCTCTTCCACTCTGCTAGCTTCTTAGTGAATCTTTCCAAAATTGGGTACCAAAAGCTTTCAGTTCTAGGATTTCTCCCCAGGGGCAGACCTAAATACACCAAAGGCCAATTACCAACCTCACATCCCAAAGACCTAGCCAACAATTGCACCTTGTCTTCCTGTATATTTACTCCTACTACAGAACTCTTATTCCAATTGACTTTTAGATGGGAGACTCCTCAAAGTGTGTCACTACTGATCTCAAATCATCCATATCCTCTAGTTCCCCTTCACAAAAAAGAATGATATCATCCGCAAATTATAGGTGAGTGACTACCACTTGTTGCCTCCCAACTCTCAAACCTTTGATTAGATTCCTTGAATCAGCCCTGGAAATCAAGACACTTAAGACATCCACTACTAAGGTGAAGAGGAAAGGTGACAATGGGTCTCTTTGTCTAAGGCCCCTCTTAGCAGGAAAGAAGGTCCCTAGTTACTCCATTTACTAAGACTGAAAAATGACAAGAGGTGATACAACCCTTTATCCAATTACACCACCTCTCTCCAAAACCTCTGTTCCTCAACACTTCTAGTAAAAACTCCCAATCCACCAACTCGTAAGCCTTTTCTAGGTCAAGCTTACAGATCAAACCCCTCTCTCCTTTTCTTTTCTTTTTTTTTTTAATCCACACATTCATTGGCTATTAAGAACTGATTGATAATTTGTCTCACTTTCACAAAGGCCCCTTGGTTCGGTGAGATTAAGGAGGCTAGGACTTTCTTGATTCTTAGGGTAAGAACTTTAGAGATGATCTTATACAAGTTCCCAATCAAACTAGTAGGTCTAAAGTCCTTAGGCTGAATTGCTGGCACCTTCTTTGGGATCATGGCTATAAAATTAGGGTTGGGGATTCTTCTAGGGCTGAGTTAATGGCTGTTTTGCAAGGTATTGTGACTGGATAAATCCTTACAGTTTGTAGTAGAAGGGGATTCTCATGCTATCATGGGTTGGTTAAAAAGGAACAGTATGCGATCTTGGAAGTATAGACACATAGAGGGATTGCACAGCTGGCTGCAAGTTTGAGAAGCTATAGATGGGTTCCATGGTCTTGTAACAGTGTGGTGGATGCATTAGGAAGGTAAGACTGGGATTTGCTTCCCCAAGATGGGAAATTGTAGAAACAAAGTAGGGGGGGCTAGCAAAGGTTAGGCCTAATACAAGGGGTTGGCGGCTCTTGTGACATCCTTATTGTACATATCGTTCGTTTTGTATAATCAATAAAGTTCACTTTTATGAGTAAAAAATAAGATGCCAATCACCTAATGTTTTCTTTTAAATATTATATTTTTTTACACATGCTTTCTTATATAACTGATTAGTATGGTGTTTATCTTTATAGAACAAGAATTGGTGTCAGGGAGTTTACTATGTATTTAGAGAAGATTAGTTTTGATTTATTTTCTTTCAATCTTGACATGAAAGGTTAAAGAATGGCTCCAAAATCTCGGCATAGGAGATAGTACAACAGTTGTTCAAGATGATGATGAAGCAGACGATGATGCTGCTCCTTATCATGATGAAAGTGCTAAAAATAGGTTATGCCAACACACTTTGTGACTTGTTTGGTTGGGTGATAAGCATCAAATATACCCTCTTTTGTGGGAATTCTTAGGGTTCTTACATGTTTCTTCTACAGAGATGTGCCATCTAGTGCAGCTCTACCGATCATTCGCCCAGCACTGGGAAGGCAACATTCTATTTCAGACAGAGCAAAGGTGGCAATGCAAGGGTATTTGAATCATTTTCTGGGGAACATGGATATTGCTAACTCTCGAGAGGTATGTGTGAGATCTTTCAGCTTGAAGTTAGAACTAGCAAGATTGTCTTTTGAGTCTTTAGGTCATAAGCTAAAGTTCAAATTCATCTGAATATTTATTAATGTGCTCATTTTGGCTTTGTATCAGGATTGAAGTGGATTTTGGGGTTCATTCAAATACATATATATTTTTTTGTGCTATATATCATGTTGTGAGGATTATTTAATTGTTATTTTATAGTTGCTATTAGTGGGTTGTCCTCTTAAGATGCTGTCAGTTAGTTATTTTCTTTCTTTCTTATTAGTTTGTTTCTAGGGAGTGCCACCCGGGGCATACTTGTAATTTCCATTCTTTTTTATATTAAGTTAATATAAATAATGAACTGGGGGCAGCCAGAAGAAGGTTTTCTTTTTCTCTCAATCATATCTTCCTCTTCTTCTCTTTCTCTTTCTCTCTCTCGTCTCTCTCTCTCCATGAATGATTACATGGTATCAGAGCAAGGTTGGGCTATAAAAGAATTTCGGTCTCTCCTATTTGAACATGCTTCGTCCTCTTTTGCTTATTTGATTTCTTAGACGTGGAAGACAAAGAAACCCTAGCAGACTACTTGCGGCTCTTCCTTTGGGTTCTTCCTTGGTCGTAATATCAAGGAAACCCTAGTCGAAGAAGGGCGATGTAGATAGAGACTCCCTTTCTTCTCTGTTCGATGCTATGAAGTCAATTTTTGGTTGGCACCTTCGTACAGGTGTTGGACAGGGTATGTGTTCTTGTTTTTTTGTTTTTGGCCAATGGTGTGAAGGCCTTATTCCTTGGTTCTATACATTCGTTTGGATGCTGGATTGTTAGACTGTATGGGCTGTAGTCAGACTGATAGTATACTATTCTAACGTCTGCTTTAGCTGGTGTTGGACTGATTACCGGGCTGGTTTAATGACTGAACCATCACATAGTTGATTTCAACAGTTTTTTGTTTTCTTTTCCACATCCCAGAAGTAAATTTCTTGAGGGTTGATATTCTGTTTGTGGCTGTTGTGTAGTTGTGTGGGWTTTGGACTGATTTCAGCAGTACTCTATGGCAAACTATGATTCAACTTCATCGGGGGTTACACCGACCCGCAACACAGCTGGTATGGGAGGTGAAAACATGATGTTTCCCATGCCCATTACCCCTTTAAATGGTATAAACTACTTGGAGTGGGCTAAAAGTGTAAAACTTTATGTAACGGCAAGGGGAAAAGCTGGTTACATAAATGGAAGGGTGAAAGAACCCAAGAGTGAGACAATTGAACATGATAGGTGGTATCAAGAAAACAGTATGGTGATGTCTTTGCTCCTTGCAGCCATGGAACCTGATGTGAAGAACTTTATGTGGGCAGACACCGCTAGTGAGATATGGGAACAGGCCAAAACTACCTATTCTGAGCAAAGGCATTATGCCAAGGTTTACCAGTTGCAAGCTGAATCCTCAACCTGTAAACAGGGAAATCGTAGTTTGTCTTCCTATTATTTAGCCCTTACTTCCATATAGAAAGAATTGGATCATTATTAGGGTATAGAGTGGAAATATGATGACAATGCTAAGGCCTACAGGAAGCTGGTTTCTCAGCAACGTGTGTTTGCCTTCTTGTTGGGACTGAACCTTGCCTATGAACCTTTGAGAGTTCAGATCCTAGGAAGCAAAGAGTTGCTGTCGGTTCACGAGGTATATTCCCTTGTTCAATCGGAAGAAAGTAGGCAGAGTGTGATGGTTACAGCTGAGGGGGAGCAACAAATTGCTTTGGCTGCGATGAGTAATAATAACATGGGGAAGAAAAGTGACACCAAGAAGGCTGATGATAAAAATAAGTTGTTTTGTACCCACTGTCGGCGCTCATGGCATACACGTGACACATGTTGGGACATTCACGGGAAACCCAACTGGGCAGTGGAGAACCAAGAACAGGGTAAAAGGCAAGGTCAGAAGAAGATGAACATAACACATAATGCAACACATGTGGCAACCCAAGATACTCAGGTTGCTGGTACTACCCGAGACCACCTTAATAATTCTGACCCCAAGGAAGATATAATGAATTCCTTCAGAGACCACTTGGAGTCTTATGGTAGGGCTTTGCGACAGATGGATAGCTCAGTCATTGGTCCCTTAGAGCTGAGATATGTGCAGTTATGGAAGGAGCCGGAAAGCTAAGGAATTGAACACCAAGAAACTTATAATTGAAGGGGATTTAGAGGTGGTGATAGAGTGGCTGACTAAAGATCAAAATGATTTATGGAAGTATAATAATGAGAAGAGGAAATTCAAATGGCTGGTGCGGGAGATGGAAGTTAAGACATGTTGGATTA